TTTTTACATCTCTCAGGCTTTAACACTCCATGCTCTTTGTGACAAACAGGCCCGAGGTTCTAAACGTAGGCTTTGCAAACAACTGTAGTTTCAAGCTGCTAAGTCCCTCCAAGAAAACAACAAATGTTAAGATTAAGTTATTTGTTTTGAAAAGAATTTGATTAACTGGCATCATGTTAATCAAATTCTCTAAACTGCTCATCCTCTATTTCACATTCAGACCCCTCATATCTGCTTGTTAATCAGTGTACTCCATTTCACACACACACACACACACACACACACACACACACACACACACACACAGTTAAAAGCCAAAAAATGCACGAAACATGCGGCTGCTTCGGAAAAATATGAAAAGACTGTTATTTCAGCATCCTGTTATCACTTTGGACACACTTGTTGACTGTGCAGATTAATCAAGTCCATCTATTTGACATTAATCTTGTATCAATTATGTGAGCAGTATGATGATTGGTGCCAAGGCCAGTACTCATGCATGCAGTTGCTAAGACTGACTCTTGCTCCAAATAGGTAAGATGGGGTTCGTAACTGTGATGTTTCAGTTTAATGTCTGGACAGTCAAAGTGAGTGGAGACACGTTGTCCATGTTTACAGTCTGTGACATGAGGTCAAGTGGTAGGACAGGATTTGTTAATATACTTATCAGAATATCAGTTTCTCAACTAACATGGTACTGCAATAAGTGGAGATTAAGTGTAAACAGCAAGTTTTTGTACTTGCATTAGAAGCAGACTTGAGATCAAGGCACCCCCACCAACCATTATTGACAGATTGTGATATGTGCAGTCACAGTTCATGGAAAATTGACATCATGTTTTCTGTATTTTGCATAAGTATGTAAACTGGAGGTAATTTGAAAGTATGCCCATGAAATAAAAAAAAAACATTGCTGAAGGATGAAATCAGTACCAACCAATGTGAACCATCAGAGACATTTATAGATTGACTTTTCTCCCAAAGAGGTTGATTGACTTTCATAAATCAAATCAGTGATTCCTTTTAAATACTCTACTAACCATTTGACTCTTCTCTCTCAGCTCAACTGAGTTCAGGAAAAGCTCAGAGAGAAACTGTACAATCTTTCATCAAATATGACCTCAGTGACTGTGGGATCAAAACAGAAAAAAGAAAAGGCTGCTTTCTCAGAAGGAAATATGTGAGCTTGTTGCTGGGCGTAAATCACTGCTAATTATTTGAGTGAAAGAGATGTGTGAGCCACAGCTGCTTAAAAATATTTCCATACCAGAAATGAACAGCATGTGCCTCCCATAAAGTATTGTATTTTCTGTTGCCGTGAATAGATCCTGAGTCACGTCCTGTGCATCAGCAGTCGTAACCATCTTGTTGCATGGATGGCTATGTATTGACACGGACTGTGGTTGAATGTTTACTGTGTGTTTTAAAATAGAACCCTGAAATCCATTGAGAATGATTTATCATTCTTGTTTCAAGGACCACAACAACTTACAGTGTCATCTGTGTTTACAGCCCAGTAACTCAGCGGTAACACTCGTATATTTGCCACTGTCACAATCTTTCCTGAATCTCAGAGAGGAACTCTCTGAGATTTTACACATCAAAGTGTGTTTACAGGAATCGGGGAGTACTGCTGCATATGTGAGACAAAGTTGTACAAAGCCCTTTTTGGATCCAGAGGGAGCGATGTCAAAGTCTCTTGTCACTTAGGTTTGTTAGGGCTGGAGACGGCAAGACTCAAAGAAATACAAATAAAAAAACTAGGGCTGTAGGGTTAGAGAGAAGTGAGCATCAGCTGCTGGTAGTGAGATCGCCAAATCTCCAACTGAATTGTCAGGGGTCAAGTTGCCCAGGTGATGTACAGTAGGTGCAATCAGCTTTTTCGTGTCAATAGCTTTTGATAAGAATGAATGAAAAAGATGATGCAACATAATGAGAAGCTAAAAAAGCATTCAGTATCTTGTTCTGCTCAGTCGATGTTCATTGCACAGCGGTGCAGTGCTTTGCAGTGTCTTCTCATAGGTCCCGTGATTTGAATCCCAGTTCAGGTTGTTTCTTTCTGTGTGGAGTGTGCAGAGTCTCCCTGTGTCTGTGGGGTTTTCTTCAGGTTCTCCAGCTTCCTCCCAAAGTCCGCATGCAGATTAGGGTTGTGTTAATTGGTGACTCTTAATTGTCCGTAGGTGTGAATGTGAGTGTTTAAAAGAATGGTTGTCTGTCTCTGTATGTCAACTCTGCGATATGTTGTCAACCTGCCCAGGGTGTACCCAGTGTTTCACCCAATCAGTGAGGATTTTCTCTAGCTCCCCCTGTAACCTTCAAAAAACAAGCAGTATAGATAATGGATGGATGGATAGACTGATAACGATACCATGTTTGCCACAGGTAATGATAATAGAAAGAAAAGTTTGAAATTGTGCCATATTCAAGGGGTTTTATTTTATTCTCTGTCACCGTTTTTATCTGGGTCCACTTGTTATTGATTCTGAAGGTTTTTTTAGTTATCAGCGCTTCTATAATGACAACAAATATATTAAAGGAATACTACTTTTCTGACATTTGAGTTACGAGTGAGTAAACCAGCAGAGGGAAAACGAAAAAAAAAATGAATTACCTTAACATTTTTTTATAAGACCAAATATAAGTCAGTGAGGTGCAGGGAATTGGTTAGTAGATGTTTACCTGTTGCGTCAGTAAAAGCAAAGAAAGGGATTTTTTAGAGATCTAGAGAGATAAAAATATATTTCACTAGAAAATAGCAGCGACTGGAGACAACTCAGAAAATGTAAACATCATTATTATTCCTCTGATGAGGAGGGGCCAGTTGGAGTTTGATACTGATGTAACAGTACCATCTTAGCTAATATCTCAGTTATTGTCTCATTTGTTTATTGATCTGAAAATGATGTACTTCTATAATGTGACCAGTAGCAATAAAAGAGCAATTCCAGTCGATATCCCACTCACCACAACTGCAGCTCACTTTGTTTCACTTACCGTGTTTCATATACTGTAAATATATTCAGTTCTTCAACCCCCTGGCCTCCATGCTCACACATTTCAATTCCTCGTTCTTTTTTCAAATTTAGATTTTCATTTGACAGCTTTTTTCAAGACACTGTAAATAACTGATTTCCCTCTGATGTGACATATGAACTCCATCTCCCTGGGGACCACAGGGAAACACAGCTAACACCTGCTTGAAGCTGCTGATTCCCTCCGCTCTCGAGCTGCGTTTCCACCACGTTTCATGAATATTTGTCACTTCGCCTTGATCCCGAGCAGATGGTTAAATAGCGACGTTCCCTGATCTTGCCGCTCATGATGAGTTGACTTTGTGTTACGACTTCATGAGGACTCAGCCTCAGTTTTTCTTTTGCAGCATTGCCTTCAACTTGTACTGAAGAGGTGATGTTGGTGTCTGACGTGCATATTAT